ATAGAGCTTATTAAAATAAAACACTTTTATTACACGACAACATATTTATTTTCTATGTGTTTTTTTCAAGAGTAATCAACTCTTCGTGAAAAAATATATAAATTTAAGTTGAGTGAGGCTAGCAATTTGTCAATGTCTTTTTTATCTTTATACTTATTTTTTTGTTCTTCCAAATTTGCAATTTTTATACAATAGGTTCATAGTTGAAATGCACAAGGTCCTCTATGTCTAAGGCAAGCGTGTTAACCCTTATTTTGTGCATTCAAAAAAACGAAAAAAAAAAAAAAAAAAAAGGCCTCAAGTGGACCACCTTTTAGGCTTAATCTAAAAGAAAGAAAATGATTCCCGATTTCTCTAACCTATTTGTATAGAACCCTTTCCACGTATTAGATAAGACTCACCCCTGAATTCTATTTGTTTAGATATAAAATATTTCAAAAAGTATTTTTTTATTTTTCAGTATTTAGCTGTCGTAAAATATTTATGATGAAAAAAAAAAAAATGGCCGTTACAATAGGCCTCAAATCAATATCATTAAGCTCTGAAAAAAACAGATGATGAGTCAAAATGTGGGTAAATGACTAAATGATAAGGGGCTTGGAAAGGTGTGTTGTATTCACAATGGTGTTTGATAGTAATAGAATCACACTTGTTCTTCAAAGGTTGAGTTTAAGGTCCATGAATCACAAACTACATTGAAACATTCATTAAGGCCCAATTTGGTTGGAAGGTATTGGAAGGAGAAAAAAACAAAGAAATGTAATGGGAGGAAATCAAATGTTGTGTTGGGTATAAAATTTTAAAGGAAAAGATAGATTTAGAAAGAAACAAATTATATATGACCTGTTAGTTTTGTTAATGCTAACTTTTTTAATGAAATTTTGTTAATATCAAATTTGTCCTTATATTTATAGAAGACAAAATCTACTAAAAATGATATGATAGTAAATTCATTATAATACTTTTCTTTCTTTCTTTTCCCAAACATTTTTCCTACTATCATTTCCTTATTTATTAATCAACCAAACACGACAAGTGATTAATTATATCCTCACATTTCTTTTATTTTCTTTTCTTTTCTCTCCCAGCTAATCTTATCATTTTTTTTCTTTTCCATTGTTCCAAACAAAGCCTAAGGGAAATAGAGTTGCAAGATATTATTTTCAAAAACAGCTTAAGTCCAAGAGGCATCAACCTATTGATAGACCTTGAGACAGAATTAGTTTTTGTAGCATTACGTTTTTTTTTTTTTTTTTTTAAATTTCAATTTGAAGTCAAACAATTAAAAAATGAATGCACTTTGAAAGTAGATATTCAAACACTGTTTTAATATGTCTCTAAAGGCATAGTTTTTAAGGTCTCCTTTTGAACTACACTCCTAACTTGAATGGTGTAAGTATTGTAGGATCGATGCATGTACTCTATGAAAAAAAAATACTATTTTAGTATAACAAATTTTTTTTTTTTAAATAGTCCTTTAATTTTGAATAAAGAATTCATAATGAATCCGTTTTTCTAATGTTAACGTTAGAAAGTATTGAATCCACTACTTGAATTTGAAATTAAAATAAATTTAATTCAAAAATTTAATTATAAGAAAAACACAACATAAGTAAGTTTCGAACCTAGTTATGACTAGTTAGTTAACAACGGACGAGTTGTCAAACTAATTCTTTGACTTTCAATCATCTAAAACTAAAATAAATAAAAAAAATTCTCAACTAACTGAAACAAACTAAGGACAACGGGTAATTTGGCCAGAAAATTGAGCCTTGTGGGGCTGGCTAATTGAGGCTCCCACGTGATTGTTGGCTAATGCTATTCCCATAGAGCCAATACATATAGTAAGCCATTTAGCCCGTCATTGAGGGCCCCACATAAAAAAGAAACAATACATCAATGAAATAAATGCAATAAAAATAAGGGTAAATTATCCTGACACTCTTTTAAGTTTTGATTAATGTCACTAGATGTTGGTCAACGGGTTTTTGAATAATGACACCCTTTGAAGTTTTGAAATTTTTTATTAATATCCCTCTACATGCAAAATGACCATTTAACCCTTCACCTTGTCAACAACCATTAAATTTACTAATATAACATTTTCTAGCTAATTTCGTAAGACCAAAATAGCCTCTCCATCTCAAGGTAATACTCATCGTTGCCACCACCATACCCATAACCAACACCCCTCTTCCATCCTCTCTTTATTTCTTCTTATCCATGAAAAACCCCCACCACCGGTTTGAGCCTCTTCCTCAACCTTCACTAAACTCCCACTCAAATTTACCACCAATAGATTAAAAACTTCCTACAAAATATGGAAACAAGCAAAATAACTTGATTGATATTTCAGTTTTGTGAACAAGATTCTAAATTTTCATTTCAATCTTAACCTTCATCATTTTTTGACTCATTCCGCTCGCGTTACTCGCCGGATCTCCTAGCGACAACAACAACTGCTACGTCATCCGACAGTGGGTTGCAGTGGCAATAGTAGGGGGTGATGGCATCGTGTTGTGGTGGCGATGGTGGGGATTGTGGTGGCGGTGGTGGGGGTTTTGGTGGTGATGGTGGGGGTTGTGGCTACTGTTTTATGGTTGTCTGTAATTATGGTTAGTTTACTTTAGATTAAATGTATTGTAAATTTTTAAGGGATGGTTAGTTTGGTTATTTCATAGGGTTGATGGTTTTTTTTTTTATTATTTATTTATATAAATTTGAATTACAAGTTCTGAGGCATTTATGACATTTCAATTGAGAGGGGTGTCAATAAAATTTTTTGAAACCTTAAGGATGTCATTGCTAAAAATTCGTTAACAAATATTTGAGTAGCATTAACTGAAACTTCAAAAGTGCTGGTATAATTTACCCTAAAAACAACTACTATCATAAATGTAATAAAATAATAAAAAGTGGATACGAACGCACCCAATCGAGACACACCCGAAGGACAATCAATTTACTTACGTGTTGCGTCATGGGCCACTTCTAATAGTTAAAATTCAATATACTCCGTATGGCTCAAGCTCTATTATTGTCATTCTTTAAAATTCTGTGAAGTTTTATTTGTATGAAATACACACAGATTTGACCTAACATTCCACGTGATCAAATTCATCAATTAATAGCCCACACATGCGTATTAATTAATTTTCAAGTGAGCCATTTATTTTTCTTGATATATAAGTCGTTCGTCAACCCTTACTTCATTGAAGATAAGAATAATAATAAAAATAGATACTTACCTCATTTTGACCCAGCAAATCTTAATACATCCCCAAATGATGGTGAAGTACATCCCCAAATGATGGTGAAGTATATATATCAAAATTACACCTCTAATCACGCAGTATTAGAATATTATAGTTTACTTTTGTAGTTTTATTCGCACACATGCCCTTACTTTCACTCTGTGCAACTTAAATTTTATCGTTTTAGTAACTCCCGTTCTAATTGACTTAAGTCTCGATAGTTTTAATAAGAGTGGAATCAAAAACTTTCACCAAAGCCATGAGAGTGATGTTGTTTCATGAAAAGTTACTCCAAGAAGTAAATTCTTTCTGCATTGAAACCGTAAAATGCCCAAAATCACGTGGTATAAAATTTTAACTTAGCAAGTATATAGTGCATATTTGAGTACAAGAATAATCATATTGTGCAAAATAGTGCAATGGTTTTGATTTTTGATTTTTATCTGGCTTATAAGAGGACGAGGGATAGGAAAAATCAAGATGGAGTGAATGGCGCTTTATTTATATATATATATAAATTAAGCTTTCTTTATAAATCTGTAAGGGTCATTTCAATAATTTCATTCTACATTTAGGTTTAGTTTGTTTCAACGTAAAAAATTTTGTCAGAAAATATTTTCATTTTTTTTAGGTAAAATGTTTTTTTATTTGTATTTTTCGGTATTTGGTAAAGGTTTAGGTTGAGGTTGAATCATCTCCAAGCAGGATGTATAAAATTACTTACCAAAAATTTATAAATAAATTATTTTTGCTAGATTTTAATTTTTTTTTTCTTAAATATTTTACGACAATCAACCACCAAAAAATAAAAAAATATTTTTTAAAAAATATTTTACCTAACAATTGTTATACCATAGGCCTTTTTTACAACTTTAATGTAGTTGAACGGACAAATTTTATTTCAACTCATGTAGTATGGAAAACCCGTTTAGTATAGAGGAAATAACACTAAAAAATAAAAAATAAAAATAAAAACAAAAGAAAAAAAGTCTATAAATTGATCTATTTACACAAGAAAAGTAAAAAAGTAAAACATCACCAATGTTGGAACTTCATAAAGTTATATTTCTCAAAAGGAGTCAATCATGCTAATGACCTTTGTGGTTAATCTCAGAAGACAACTTGAGCACAAACAAACTTTTTTAACAAAAAAAAAAAAGTTAACTCTTGTGTTTTTTCCTTTTCCATTGAATTCAACACTGCATAGAATTATAGAAACCTTGTTGCTTGCTAGAAGAAGAGGGGGACGCTTTTCATGCTCAAAATTGATAATTGAAATGACAAATATAACTCTAAACTAATTTCATATTGTATATAAAACTTTGTAACTGAATCCTTTTTAAGGAAAAATGCTATTATAGCAAAATAGGTTAATGGTAACTAATCGGGTATTTCGCGGTTTGACTCAAAGCTCAAGTCATTAAGTGGTGTTAACATTCAATCAATTTATACCTATTTCAATTCTCATTCATATCTGACATGAGACAAGACCCACTTGTAACATTTTCCCCCACCTAAACTCTTCTTGTAACATTCTACCCCACTTAAATTCACAATGTCCTTGTCAAGGTCGGGTTACCCTGCCTACCCGAAAGTACACCAAGAAACTTTTGGACATGACATTTGGTATGACACCGGATCAAAAACTGAGTCTGGCTCTTATATCGACTCACTTTAGTGATATATATATATATATAAAAAGAAGATTTGAAGAAAACCTGACTTTCAAATGTTAAGAGAGTACTCAGAATAGTTTCACGTGTACGAATCCTATTGGCCAGTCTCCAGCATTTCGTAATCTTCCAGATACATTCAATTTCAACCATCCGCCCATTTCTTAGGGTTTCCCCTCTATTCCCACAATAACGTCGCCGGTCGGTGCATTTTCCCGGAAAATTCACTCGTTTCCAGGAAAATTCACCTTCCCCATCAGATATCCGGCCGCAACCATTTTTTTTCCCCCTATCAACAATTCCCCAATTAATTCAGAGTTACCGGGGATACAACCTTCTATTTTATCGATTGCGTAATTTAAATTCTTACCTTATTGGAGCTTTAATTTCTGTAATCCTGATTGAGCTATGATCGTCATCAATAGTTAAGTGATCAGATTGAATTTCGATTTATAGCTTTCGATCGTTGATGCTTCGGAGATTATTCAAATTACGTAAGTGTTTTATTTATTTATTTTGCAGTCTTGATGTTGCGATTTTTATTTTGATTATTTTATTCGGTAATTTATCTTCTTCTTCTCTTCTTTTTTTTTTTTTTTTTTTTTTGTCATATTGATTGATTGTTTTAGAGATTTGAAGGAGAGGAGTCGGAGATTTTGTGTTTCTTCGTAGCTGAAGATGACGACGAGTCAAGGAGGTTCTTCTAGGAGAAGTATGTCGTTGAATAGCTCATCATCGCAGGCGAAGAAAAAAGCTAACGAGAATGGTGGCAATGATTCCTCTGCTCGAAAGTCTCTACCATCTTCTCGTTCCATGTACGTTGTATCTATAAACACATGTATGCTTATGTATCTATCGATTATATAATCTTCTAATTAGATTGAAATTCATAATTTCACCCATTTTGTCAGAGCTTCTGTACCAATCCTTTCTATGATACGAAACCAACTTTCTATTTCCCATATAAACGATATTTCTTTTTTCTAGTTCATGTGGGTTCATGTGGAAATGGATATTTAGAATGGAATTAGATGGTGTTTTTCTTTTTAATTAAATAGGTCACCTGTTCATGGAGCCAAAAGTTGGATGTTTATGGTTGGGCCTAGTTTATATATCTTTTTACTTTTATGTTTTAAATGCTTTTCAATCGGTGAAAGTCAAAGTTTACTGCATTTTCGTCAAAATAACTACACTAAAAGATTAGGGTCGCAGATTTTAGGGGCCATGAAGCCAAAGTTTGGTGACTATGGCTTTGTTTGGTCACAATATGTTTTCTGCACTTATATCTGTCCATGAAGGTCAATGAATTTCAGAATATGCTGCTCTTTTGTTGAAATAACACCATTTAAAATTGAACTCTCTTCAATGAGGAATTTTTGAGAAATATATTGTTACACTCTGTGAGATCCTGAATTTTTAGTTGGTTTATTTAATTCTTTATTTGCTATATGAGCATATTAATGGCTGCTTGAGCTTAAATCACATAGTTAGTCGAGTTGATAAAAAACCAGAAGAAGATTATATTTTATAAGTATGCAATCACATGTACTAGAACTCTCTATACACTAGTCATTTAACATAGTGCATAGATGTTTCATCACACATTTTATATTGATGTATTGTGCCAAAATTTACCAAGTAAGCTAGTACTAGTCAATTGTAGTAATAATAATAATATTAGTATAGCAGGTGCCATGTGTGTTATCCCATGGGGTGAGTGTGTTTGGTGAATGAAAAATAAAGTGTGTGTATAATAGATATGTGCTGGATGATTAAGTGGTGAAACTAGAAAGTTTTTAAAACATGATTATTTTTGGAAAGTAAAATCACCTAGTTTTTCTTAAATCCCCAAATTCCTTTCATCACACCTCAGGTTTCGAGTCTAAAGACCCGGGGCATGACACTCTGTGGTGGTGCTTGGGGGCAACATTGAACAATGTTTATATATATATATATATATGTATATATATAGTTTATCACAGCAATAAACATGAAAAATTAAATATCAGTTAATATTATTTTTATTCAGTACATTTATGATTGTCCTTGACAAATTTTAGTGCTTACCCCCAGGAGTCACCTAGAAGTTTGGCATTTTGATATATGAAATAATCCTAATAATTTGCAAGACTATTGTAGATTTGATTGTCTAAAAAACCAATTCTCAGAACAATATATTGATGTTAACAAAATTCTTATTCTTTCATTTCGTAACCTATAATGGATTTCTATTCACAAAGAGTGAGACCAGGTGAAAAAGGGTATTAAGGAATTTACTTCACTGGATTAGGGTTAAGAATTATATTGAAAGAAGGCTTTTGTGATTCTCTCTTGTTTTTATATTGGAGAAAGATTGAGAGGTAAAAGAGAAATATTGATGACTAAGGTTGAGGTGATGAGCTAGATGTGAGTTATGGAAAAACAATGTGCAAAGAGCATTTATGAGAGAAAGATAATGACTAACAAAAGAAAGACTAAATGGTCAAAACTAAGTTTTAACTGTCAGGTGTTCCTTTAGAGGCGGTGAGTTGGAAAATTCTATTGCTTATGTTTAATTGAGTTTTGGCATCACATAGGCATCATTAACAAGATAACTGACTTATTTATTTGTTAATAAATAAAATCCATTAAAGAGCTTAGAGGGGAGCAATCCTTAGAACAATTAGACAAAAACTATATCTATACATCTCTATAATCTTAGACTATCCAACAAATTAAGCAATTCCTCCACAGATTTACAAAACCTCCTGGAAACCCAAAAGAAAAGATAGCTAAAAAATGAGGTGTTTAACACCCAAATTGGAGCTTCAATTCCTTCAAAAGATCTTCTATTGTTTTCACACCATAATCCCCACCAAATACAAAGGAGACTAGCTCTCATAAGCGTCTTGAGCATGGCATCCCACTGTACACCCCCTCCAAATCTTGAGCATCCCAACCGTAGATTCTGGGCAGGGCTGACTCGATACCAGTTGAGACTACTTGAGGTGCAAGGCAAAACCTGAACTTATTTACTGGCGCCAATTATTTTTTAGCTAATGCTCAATAATTTTGAAAAAAATCAAATGTAAAAGTTTAACTTAGAATATAATACGATTGACGAGATTTTAGGATTTTGACAATAATAATACAAAGAATTAAAGAAAGAAAGTATAGAATAAGGGGAAAAGTAATAACAAGTGAGAAGAAAATTACAAGAATAAGAAAAAGGAATTAAAGAAGTGAAGTAATAAAAGCAGTTGTACACTTTAATATATTTAGGAGTATCATGTTAAATATAGTCTAAGTAGGTCAATGTCAAAGAATTATAGGAAGTTTTTATTAACAACAAACAAGATCTTTTAAAGGAGAGACAGAGAAATTCCAAACGGTAATAAAGTAAACTTAACTAAAAAAGGGGGAAAAAATAATTCAGTTGTCGAATCCACATAAGTCAGTCCAAAGGGGCCTTTCTTTGTATTGGGGGCCTTACACTTTTGCCTAAATGGCCTAAGGCTCCAGCGCACTATGATTCTGGAAGGACCCAATCGACACCAAAAATCGCAAAGAACAAAGCTCACACCTCTCACCACAGGGCAATGGAACAAGAGGTGACTTACAGACTCCTCATCCCTCTTGCACATGCAACACCAATTAACAACAATTTGCCTCCTTTCCCTCAAATTATCCAGTGTCAAAATCCTCCAAAGGGCCGCTGTGCACCCAAAGAAGGCTATCTTGAGCGGGGCTTAGATCTCCACACTGCCTTCCACAGGAGAAGACGACGATGGATGACCTTTCAAAATATGATAATAGGACTTCATCCTAAAACTATCTTTGTTAGAGCTCGCACACTTCAACACATCCTCCCCTGCCCCGTCACCTCTTGATTCTAGAGCAACTCAATAGAAGTGACAATGTTCTCCAATTCCCAACCCTGAATTTGATGCCTGTTCTCTCTCTCTCTCTCTCTCTCTCTCTACGATTCATTGTCTGTGACTGTTTCATGAACTGATGAACTTGTTCGAGTGGTGATCCAGTTAGGGTTGATTCACTGATCACCGGGTTTGTGATTCTCGATGGTGGAGTCCCGAAACCAACTTTACCGTTTCTTTTCGTGTGTTTATGCAGAACCAAGTACTGAGTAGAATTTTCAGAATTGTTTCCGGAATTTCAACAATTGCAATGAAGTGATTTATCTGCAATTCCCATGTCACCGTACCATTAATTAGGGAGTAACAGTTAGCAGCCATGATAATTAATTTATCCACTACAATTCTAAACAGTCTCGAGAAAAGCTGAGCTAGCGATCTGTATCCACACCAAACATCCATCCAAAATCTGACATATCTCCCGTATCGATCTTTGAAGCGAATATGCTCGAAAATTCATTCCACCCTTTCCTAATGTTCTTCCAGAGTCCGGACTCTAACCCCTGCCGGCATAGACACCTCACTAGAGCACCATCCGCCACTACTCTCTCCAAACTTCCTTTCAATGATGCTTCTCCACAATCGCTTCCTCTTGGAACCGAATCTCCCAAAGTATTTTCCTAGTAAGGCTAAATTGAAAGTAGCAAGTCCCTCACACCCATGCCACCCATCTGCAGCGTTCTACAAATTTTCTCCCACTTCACCAAATGATATTTGAATTCATCTCCCATGTCTCCCATAAAAGTTCCTTTGCAACCTCTCCAGTCCCTTTGCCACAGAGGAAGAAATTTGGAATAAAGAGAGGTAGTAAGTAGGAAGGCTCGATAGGGTGCCCTTCGTCAAAGTAAGCAGACCTCCCTTCGACATGGATTGTTTCTTCAACCATGCTAGTCTCCTCTCAAATCTTTCAATCACTGGAGCCCAAATAGAAGGCGCTCCCAAAGGCAGACCCTAGTAAGACAGCGGCAAGGTCTCGATGCCACACCCCAAGATGTTGGCTAGGGCTGAAGTCCTCTCCACCTCCCTTACTGATACAACTTCACTCTTTCTGAGATTGATATTCAGACCAGAGACTGCCCCAAAGCAAACCAAAATACATTTCAAGGAAATAACACAAGAGTGTACATGCATGCAAATACACTCCATCTCACTACTAAAAACAAGATAAAGAAATGGCTAAACTTTTAAACCAAAACTTCATATGTTGTAATGATATTTTCTATTTCCTATTGTATGTAAAACAGGGGACTCACAGGAGAGCGTACAGTGAAGCGATTACGGTTGTCCAAGGCCCTGACAGTACCTGACACTACAAGTATCAATGAAGCTTGCCGTCGAATGGCTGCTCGTAGAGTTGATGCATTGTTGCTGACTGATTCAAATGCATTACTGTGTGGAATCTTGACAGACAAGGTTTGCCTTGAATCAGTTGTCTGATACATTGCCAAGCAAATTGTGTGTTACACAGCTTACACTTGAATGATTTTTTTTTTTTTTTTTTTTTTTTTTTTTTTTTTTTTTTTTTCTTTTTGCTTTTCCATGTGTTTATAAACTATTCCAATTTTTTTATTTATTTATTTATTTATTCATTTTCTCCTTTTTGTGGTTGAAGGATATAGCAACAAGAGTTATCGCTCGTGAACTTAATCTTGATGATACACCTGTTTCCAAGGTTATGACGAGGAATCCTGTTTTTGTTCTTTCTGACACCCTTGCAGTGGAAGCCCTGCAGAAGATGGTACAAGGTTGGTATTGACTGGAAAATAAAAGCATTTTATCATTTTTCAAGTTTTAAAATTTGGACACTGGACATGGTGTTGAATGTTTTTGTTTTCAGGAAAATTCAGACATTTGCCTGTTGTGGAAAATGGGGAGGTTATTGCTTTGCTTGATATAGCAAAATGTTTGTATGATGCAATCGCTCGTATGGAAAGGGCAGCTGAAAAAGGAAAGGCCATTGCTGCAGCTGTTGAAGGTGTTGAAAAACACTGGGGAACATCTATTTCTGGTTAGTTTCTTAAATGTATATCTAATAGATCTGCCATGGTTGTTCTTTCTATTTGCCTTGCTATTCTCCTTTTCTTTTCTTTCGGCGGATAATGCCTTCTCTATTTTCATGTTTGAATTATATATGCTTAATTGGTCTTCTCAAGGGACATGAGTTTCATTTTTCTTTTTCTTTTTTTTGGTTGTAGTATTTCACAAAATATTTGGTTGTAATATTTCAAAAAATATTTGGTTGAAATTCAGGTCAGAATACATTCATTGAAACACTTAGAGAGCGCATGTTTAAGCCCTCTTTGTCTACAATCATTCCTGAGAATTCAAAGTAGGTAATATCTTTTCTTTCTTTTATTTATTTTTCTTTTTTTCTTTTTCAATTATTTGATCTATGGGGTAGTTCATATTTGTTAGCAAAGATTCATTGATACAAGTTACTTTCTTGTACTGATTATGGCACTAACAGGATTGTAACAGTCTCACCTACCGACACAGTATTAATGGCAACAAAGAAGATGCTTGAATGTCGAATAAGCTCCTCCATTGTAACAGTTGACAACAAACCACGAGGAATCCTAACGTTGGTTTCTTCTCATTTAAATTGAACATTGTGAATCTGTTTTTATGTATAAAGGAAGAAGCATACATTTTGGAAGTCTTATAAAGTAATTTGTAAGTAAATAATCTTATCACGTGCCTTTTATTTTGTTTGTAGTTCAAAGGATATCTTGATGCGGGTAATAGCACAAAATCTTCCTCCAGAGTCCACTCTAGTGGAAAAGGTAACTGTCTCGTTCTACTAGGAATTTCTGTTCATAGGGTCTTCTGATAAATAATTCTAAAATTAAATTTTAAATTCTTCTTGGCACAATTTATGTATTTATATCTGTTTTTGCCAGAGGGCATGACATATTTATGCATTTCTTATGAATGTATTATAAAATATTATTGATTTAGGGTATCATGTTTATTAATATCTAGGTGATGACCCCAAATCCGGAATGTGCAACAATTGATACACCCATTGTTGATGCTTTGCATACCATGCATGATGGGAAATTTTTACACCTTCCTGTAGTTGATAGAGGTAAATTTACCTTCGCTATTAAAGGTTGCATAAATTTTTTTATGATTATTAGTATAGTAGCTGATGAATGTGGATCGCTCAATGCAGAGGGAATTGTAGTTGGTGTTGTTGACGTACTCCATATCACTCATGCTGCTGTAGCCACAGTAAGTCAAGTTTCTTAAAGCTTATATTGTGGCATAAAAACACTAAAGTTGTTCTTCTTTTTTGTTGCTTTGTGGGGGGGGGGGGGGGGGGGGGGGTGTCATTCCATTTAAGCAGGTTTCCATACAATGCAGTTGCTTCAGTATGTCTTCCTCTCTGGGCTGCACTATTATTGGATTCTTAATGAGTCAATGACCAGGCATCATGCAACTATGTTGATTATGAACTTGTGTCGTAGCAAATTATCTGGGAATAAATTAGGTGCGGGGATGGCTAGTTAGTGATTTAAATCTATGAAGCAATGCGAGCAATAAATTAATGTGGTTTCCACCATCATCCCCCTCCTATTTTTTTGTTTAAATCTCTAAACAAAGAAATGGAGTAAGGGAACTTCATCAAGAAGTGCAGAAATGGGAAAAGTGTCAATCATCTTGTCACACTATATATTTATATTGGAGAAGGAATTTTATTAAAATGTGCAAGAAATTATTATCATTTATAAATTTTCTATCTACTTAAGATTGTTCAATTTTATGGATTTTTTTTTTTTTTTTTTTTTTTTTTCAGTATGCCAAATTGTGGCTTATTGTCCTTTCAAAAAATGGTTAATAGTGCAGGGTAACCATTCATTGAAGTAATGCAAAGGATCTTATCTAAAATTCTATATTTGAAAATTCCTCTTCTTTCCCATTGTTTTTGGTTCTTCAAAATTTGTGGATAGTAATATGGTCCCATTGTTTTCCATATTAACTAGGTGGGTAGCACTGCTGGTGTTAGTAATGAGGCTGCAAGCACCATGATGCAAAAGTTTTGGGATTCTGCCATGGCATTAAGTCCTGTGGATGATGACGAAGAGACACGGAGGTTATAGGAGTTGCTTATAATATGTTGATAAATTTCTGAAATTTTAATGTTTATTCTTACATATTATTTGTGACATCTCAGTGAAGGTTCCTTGAAATTGCCTTCTGAAGGAGCAGAGACAGGGAAATCTCTTCCCTATCCTCAGCCAAGCCTGCCCAATACCTTTGCTTTCAAAATTCAAGATAAAAAGGGCCGAATGCATAGGTTCAATTGTGGTATGCTTCTTGTTCTGCTTTTCACATTAGGCAACCATTATATGGCTTTGTACGTGAGGTTGTCCATTCTGCAGGTGACTCATTTGCAGCTCATAAATGTGAAATGTCTCCAACTGATGCGTCTAGATGACTCAGCAAAGAAACTGACCATCTGGATGATACTATTGTGGACTCAAGTCATTTCTATTTATCTTAATCTATTTTTCAATTATATAAACTTGATGTTTGGTGTACTGCAATTTTCTCTCAGTTGTGTAGAAAAAACTTCTGATGAAAGTTGTTATAGTGATGGTCTTTAGACCAGACCTATCAAAAAAAAATAAATAAATAAATAAAAGATGATATTTAGACCAGGTTTTTGGTTGAGAATTTTTTTTGGATGTGTCAGTGTGAGAACACATTGAGCATCGCATTCTGTTACATAATAACTCTTGGATAACTTGATTTTCCATTTCTAATTCTGACTTCAGATGTTCGAAGTTTGACGGATCTCATAACAGCAATCCTTCAGCGAGTGGGGGATGATATTGATCGTGCCAACCTGCCTCAGATTCTGGTACGCATTTTACATCGAATAAGTTTTGTTTTGTTTTTTTTTTTTTTTTCCCGTTACTCCCAACATTTATGCTTATTTGTGACCACATTCTTAAGTATGAAGATGAAGACCAAGACAAGGTTGTACTTGCATCAGATAGTGATCTTGTGGCAGCTGTAGAACATGCAAGGTCAGCCGGTTGGAAGGTATGATTAGACTTACTCCTGATCCTTATCTCTCATTTCAGCGATTTACCCAGTCATGTCGATCTTACAAACCAAGCAATTGACCTCTACAGGGATTGAAATTGCATCTAGATTATTCAGGAACAAGCGGTCAGAGGAAAGGAGGAGATGTGGGTTATGCTCATGCAGATGCATGGGCTTCTGCATACAGTGCTGTTGCAGCTGGGGCCGCGCTAGTTGCAGGGTTTGGTATATTAGCATACTTGAGGAGAGCTGGTAACTGATTACTGTTTACTATTTGGCAGTTTAAAACAACAAAAAAAAAAAAAAAAAAAAAAAAAAAAAAAAAAATGGCCAAATTTGAATTGGTGGGGAGTGTTGGTCTCTTGATCGAAATCTTGTATTTGTAGGTTGATATATACGGAAATTCATTTTCTGCCAACTCTTCCATTGTTTGCGCGTTTGTTGTCTAGTGTCATGAGTTATTTCAGTAAAATTTTGAAGTTACCGGCATTTGTAATTGTTCATAATGAATAAGCTGAAGACATCAGAAAAATTCCCAAGTTATTTGCACATTCCCAAGATTCTCAACTGATCGAGAAGCTACCAGATCGTGGTTTCAAACTAAAGTTTCATTTTGTGCTACTGAAGACCGAGTTATATAGTTTGTAATCCACTATTATGGACACAGTTTGTAACAAATTTTCTACTTTTCCTCTTTTTATGAACACTGTTATTATAATTTTTTTTTTTTTTTTTTCATTATATATATATATAGAGGTATGATTTTTTTTTTTTTTTCTCTTTCCCCTCTTTCTCTCTCTAGAATTTCCTCCTCTCTGCACATTCACTATACACACACACATGCATATTGTTTTCTGGGTTTGAATTAATTTTTTGTGGGTTTGTGATATGGAGTTCAAATGGGAGTGTCATCGGGAAACATGGGGGAGAGGAGCTTAGGCGGTGTTGTCGATTCAGAACTAAAATTCGAATAAAAAAATGAATTTTTTCCTCAAAAAAAAAGAAAAAAAAGAAGAAGAAGAAGACATATTTGGGGGTTCAAAGCTGATTCAAGTGGGTGTTCCAATAGTTCTTTTTGTCATTGTCTGTTCTTTGTGGGAGGTATTTAGCTATGGCTAATGGATTGATGCCTAGTAGCTCCTATATGGGCAGCCAAGCTTGCTAATGGATTGATGCCAAGCTTGCTAATGGGCAGCCATAGCTAAATACATCCCACAAAGAACAGACAATGATATAAAGAACTTTTGGAACACTCACTTGAATAAGAAGATCAAAAGATATCAATAGGCTTTGAACCCCGAATTATGTCTTTTTGTCTTTTTTTTTTGAGGAAAAAAATCATTTTTTATTGGAATTTTAGTTCTGAATCGACAACAACGCCGAAGCTCCTCTCCCCCATGTTTCCCGATGACTCCCATTTGAACTCCATTTCACAAACTCACAAAAAAAAATAATTAAAACTGAGAAAACAACACGCATGTGTGTGTAGTGAATGTGGAGAGAGAGAGAGAGAAAGAGGGGAAAGAGAGGGAAAAAAAAGTCAGCAGCCTCACATAATGTGAAATTTAATGTTATTTTGTTAATTTAATTTTTTGTCACTAATAGGGGTATTTTGGAGAATTCAATTTGAAATTCATTCCATTTTAAAAGTTAAATTGGTCTAACCAAACACTAGAATGTCATTCCATTTCTGCATATTTCATATTTGCAACTAAACAATGGAATAAAAATGACCATTTCATTACATTCTCATTCTTATTTCATTCCATTCATGCATACCAAACACAGCATAAATGCTGTAACATTTGAATGATATGAAGCCTCTTCTATGATCTAACTATATAAGTAAACTCAATCGATGTAAATTTTTTGAAAGCTTTTGAATAAAATGACTGTGCTTTCCTACATTTAGGCTAAATAATGTCACTAATTCTTATTAAGAAAGTGAAAGAAACAACAAAAGCAGAAGAAAGGAAACTAAGGGCGGAAGAAATAGATGTGGAAGTAGAGGATTCACCGAAGATCCCTTGGTGATGAATTCAACTCTGGTGGGCCTTAGTAGTTGTCTGGGCCCATAAAAAATGACTTGGACTCGATTTGGGCCCAACTTATACACGTTGCCGCCAACAATCAGCTTTTCAATTCTAGGGCATTATTTAGTCTGCAATTGTACAAATCGTGATACAAATTGAACTAGTGAGAGAGAGAGAGAGTAGAGAGAAGAATGAAGAGAGAGATGGTTACCTTCCTCAGTGGGATTGCGATACCGTATGAAAGGTACGATGCATAAGTCTTCACAATCAACGAATCAATAAAATGACTATGTGCTTTCCTACATTTAGGCTAAATACCGTTACTGATTCTTACTCAGAAAATAAAAGAAATATCGAAAACAGAAGAAAGGAAGTAAGGGCGGAAGAAATAGATGTGGAAGTATAAATAATTTCCGAAAGGAAGAGAACTAAATAGGAACAAGAGGAATTCACCAAAGAATAAGGCCCTTGGTGATGAATTCAACTCTGGTGGACCCGAGTAGTTGTCCAGGCCCATAAAAAATGACCTATACTCGAATTGGGCCCAACTTATACACGTTGCCGCTAGCGATTAGCTTTCAAATTCTAGGGCATTATTTAGTCCCCAATTGTACAGATCGCGCACAGATTGAACTAGTGAGAGAGAAAGAGAGTAGAGAGAAGAGTGAAGAGAGAGATGGTTACCTTCCGCATAGGATTGCGATACCGTATGAGAGGTATGATGCATAAGTCTTCACAATCAACGAATCAATAATATGACTGTGATTTCCAACATATAGGCAAAATACAATCACTGATTCTTACTAAGAAAGTGAAAGAAACATCGAAAGCAGAAGAAAGGAAAGTAAGGTCGGAAGAAATAGATGTGGAAATAGAAATAATTTTCGAATTGAAGAGGACTAAATAGGAATAAGAGGAATTCACCGAAGAATAAGGCCCTTGGTGATGAATTCAACTCTAGTGGACTTGAGTAGTTGTCTGGGTCCATAAAAAATGACTTGGACTCGAATTGGGCCCAACTTATACACGTTGACGCTAGTGATCAGCTTTCAAATTCTAGGGCGTTATTTAGTCCCCAATTGTACAGATCGCGACACATATTGAACTAGTGAGAGAGAAAGAAGAGAGAAGAGTGAAGAGAGAGATGGTTACCTTCCGTAGTAGGATTGCGATACTGTATAAGAGGTACGATGCACAAGTCTTCACAATCAATGAATCAATAAAATGACTATGTGCTTTCTTACATTTAGGCTAAATACCGTCACTGATTCTTACTAAGATAGTGAAAGAAACATTGAAAGCAGAAGAAAGGAAAGTAAGGGCGGAAGAAATAGAGAGTAAGGGCGGAAGAAATAGATGTTGAAGTAGAAGTAATTTCCGAAACGAAGAGGACTAAATAGGAACAAGAGAAATTCACCGAAGAATAAGGCCCTTGGTGATGAATTCAACTCTGGTGGACCCGAGTAGTTATTCAGGCCCATAAAAAATAACCTGGACTCGAATTGGGCCCAACTTATACACATTGCCGCCAGGAATTAGCTTTCAAATTCTAGGGCATTATTTAGTCCCTAATTGTACAGAATGCGACACAGGTTGAACTAATGAGAAAGAGATAGTAGAGAGAAAGATGGTTACCTTCCGTAGTGGGATTGCGATACCGTATGAGAAGTACGATGCACAAGTCTTAACAATCAACGAATCAATAAAATGACTATGTGCTTTCCTACATTTAGACTAAATACTGTCACTGATTCTTACTAAGAAAGTGAAAGAAACATCGAAAGCAGAAGAAAGGAAAGTAAGGGCGGAAGAAATAGATGTGGATGTAGAAATAATTTCCAAAACGAAGAGAACTAAACAGGAACAAGAGGAATTCACCGAAGAATAATGCCCTTGGTGTTGAATTCAACTCTGGTGGACTCGAATAGTTGTCCGGGCCCATAAAGAATGACCTCAACTCGAATTGGGCCCAACTTATACATGTTACTGCCAGCGATCAACTTTAAAATTTATGGCATTATTTAGACCCCAATTGTACAGATCGCGACATAGATTGAACTAGTGAGAGAGAGAAAGAGAGTAGAGAGAAGAGTGAAGAGAGAAAGATGGTTACCTTCCGTAGTGGGATTGCGATATCATATAAGAGGTATCTTGCACAAGTCTTCACAATCAAGGAATCTATAAAATAACTATGTGCTTTTCTACATTTAGATTAAATACCATCATTGATTCTTCCTAAAAAAGTGAAAGAAACATCGAAAGTAGAAGAAAGGAAAGCAAGGGCGGAAGAAATAAATATGGAAGTAGAAATAATTTCCGAAACGAAGAGCACTAAACATGAACAAGAGGAATTCACTGAAGAATAAGGCCCTTGGTGATAAATTCAACTCTGGTAGACCTGAGTAGTTGTCCGGGCCCATAAAAAATTACCTGGACTTGAATTGGCCCAACTTATACACGTTGTCGGTAGTGACCGGCTTTCAAATTCTAGGGCATTATTTAGTCCCCAATTGTACAGATCGCAACACGAATTGAACTAGTAAGAGAGAGAGAGAGAGATGGTTACCTTCCGCAGTGGGATTGCGATACCGTATGAGAGGTATGACGTACAAGTCTTCACAATCAACGAATCAATAAAATGCTATGAAGCACGGACACGTGTGGTAGGGGTAACGTACCAGTGTCGGACACGTGTTCGACACGGACACGCGTGTCCCAGCCTCGGACACGTGTCTGACACCCTTCTAACGGTTTCCTATTTTTTTATTCATTTTTTCAAGTCGAACACGCCATAAGATATGACTGGGACATGCCGGAGGACACGGCTGGTACACCGAAGGACGCCACAGTTCAAATTCTTGTTTGAAAGAAAGAGAGGATGAAGAGATATGTGTGTTTTTTTCTGTGGACCGATCAAAGACAACAAACCAAAAGCAACTCTAAATAAAAAAATGGAGGGGATAAGAGAGAAACTGGAAGAGAGAAGGGAAATCAACAAAGAGATGATGAAGAACCTGATGATTATGCTCTGGTTGGTGTGGATCAATCGATGACAGAATGAAAGAAGAAATCTCTTTTAATTGTTTGAGTGAAAATTTGTTTGCATATTCTCTAAAAATAAATCAATAGACAGAGGAGAAGGAAGATAGAAAGTTAAGAGACGGAGGACATGGCGTCTGACAAAGAATTCCGGTTCTGCTAGGGTCTCTTTCGTCTCGGTGTGAAAAGATCTTAACCAAAGGCTTGATCGCTTTTTTCTTCCTCTGTCAGTGGTTAATAAAAGAGAAATTTCATCTCGAGGAGAGAGAATATGGTCAGTCAAAGGTGGGAAGACCGAGGCGATAAGATAATCTTATCTCCTTTTTAATGTGTTTGGCTACAAAGTTAAAACTATTCTAGTATTGATCCAAATTCTAGTATTGGATATAAAGATATACTATATATTTATTGTTTGAATTTTAATAGAATTTGGATTGGACTTAATTTAAATGGATCATGTCTATTGATGTAAATTAAGAGAAATTAAAATTTTATATATAATAAAAATATATATTATTATTTTATTACCGTATCCGTGCCATGTCCGTGCCCTATTTTTTTCAAATTTGCCATATCGTCGTATCCGTATCGTATCGTACCCGTATCCCGTGTCGGTGTCCGTGCTTCATAGATAAAATGACTGTGT